ATTTAATCCATTTTTTGGAGCTCTGTGTTATTTTAAAGTAACAAGTAAAAAAGTGTCCTCTCCTCCTGATTTTCACAACTCTAAAATAACCTTCCTGAGAGGACAGGGTTAATGTGTAGTGACTTAAAAATGACAATCTTATTAGCTTTACACAAAGCTAACATTGAAGCACCAAATTTGAGTGTGGGACAACATTAAAGGTAGACACTTAGGATCGAATTAGAGGTATCAAATTGTTAGGGTACTGACTGTGACAAGTGCAAATGTAAATACCTCATTTAGTTCATCATAGCAGAGGGCACAGAAAGAATTGGATGGCACTTGCTAGAGCAACACAAGAAAATTCAGATAAATATATCAGCATTAAAGACAGCCTCCATTTCATTTGACAGGCAACAATTGAAAAAGTTTGTTCCCGCCATCTCTCTGAAACATCCAAATACAGGGTGCGATGAATAAATTGTCACCATATTATATTTTTAATTTTGTGCATGTACATTGTTTTTGATTTTGTCAACTGCACAATATAGTAGGTTCAGTTGGGAAACATCTGTGAGAAAAAGAGCGCCATGACACAATTCACTTTGACAGAAATTTGGAAACAGCATACTGTACTGCTTGGTATTCATGCCAGAAGCTCGCAATACAAACATTTCAGAGTGTTTGGGTGTCAATCTGAGGACAGTGCAAAGGATTCAGAAAGAGCTGGATGTGTCTAATGGTGATTACAAAGGTGTTTGGAGCGATGGCAATATAATGCCTCCATTCATTTTCCCACAGAGCCTCAGACTCAACACAGAGGCCTACATCAACTGCCTTGAGGAGATAGTGCTGCCCTGGATCAAGGGGGTCGCTGCTGGAAGACCCTATATCTGGCAACAGGACTCTGCACCATGCCACACAAGCAGAATAACCCAGTCATGGCTGTCAGACAATTTCTGCGACCACATCACCCCTTACATCTGCCCACCTAACTCCTCAGACTATAACCCCCTTGATTATTATGTGTTGGGTACAGTTGAGACCAACAAAACTCCTTGTTATGCCAAAGATGAACAGAAGGCAAGGATTATGGCAGCATTCACCAACTTAAACAAGTAGACCATCCAAAAGAGTTGCAGGAGATTCCAAAGTTGTCTGGAGGCCATGGTTGAAGCCAATGGTGATTTTATTGAATAAATTTACTCTTTAGTATTTAAGATATTTCTGTGTAATTTTGGTAAATATATCTATTAAAATAAGATGTCAGTGTTATTTTCATTTTCATGTAATTTAGACAATTTATCCATCATACCATGTATATGCTACATGGAATTGGACATTATTCTTATTTAAATAACAGATTATCAAACCAAGTCATTCATGAAATTATTCTCTAAATGATTGTTATCTGACTTAAATAAAACAATCTCATAATTTCCATTCAAATGATAATCAACAATCACATATGATTAAGGTAATTTAAATAAGATATTCAGAGTAACATCAAATTTAAAATTTGATTTTAAAATTCTGTCTATATTTCTGAGATGAGGTATTATGTACATTATTTATATTATTTGGACTATTGTCTTCATCTTTGTCGCCATATTTATTACAATGTTTCAGCCATTGTACGCTCCGGCCTTCTTCAGGTGATTGGAATTTCAAACTGAACCCTTTTTTTCACTGGTTCTATAGAGGAGAACTTGACTAAAGACGGTGTGTACGCTATCTTGTGGAGCTGCGGAAAGAAATATAAAGGGGAGAGAGGCCGCCCCCTTAAGGTAAGGCTTCAAGAACACCAGAGAGCTGTAACATGAGGGGAAGTGGAAAAATCAGGCATGGCTGACCACATATAGAGAGAAAAGGGAGATCACCACCCTCTGTGGGATCAGATTGAAATCCTAGATGAAGAACATCATTGGAAAATTCGAAAATTTAAGGAATCAGCACATATACTAGGCCAGAAAAATCTCCTGAGCTGAGCAAGCATAGAAATGAATACAATATGGGAACCAGTAATAAGGAGTGCCACAAAAAAAGTAATAATAACAATGAAAATTGCAATATGAGCTCTGGTAAAAACATGTAATGATAACAGCAAAAATTGCAATATGAGCATTGGTAAAGACATTAGGTTTATAATACCCAGAAATTCATACTCAGATGTCTTTAAGGACACATGGGCACAGTGGATAAAGGCATTAGATCCAGTGATAGGACCCAAAGATACCTGTTCAAGGTAGTGAAGAACTTGGAGAGGTGAATTAACTGGAGATAACTGATAACTGACATCCATTAAACATGGCACGTGGAACTAGAATAGTCTAACCCAATGAGCGAAATAAAGGGTTCAGTTCGACATTCCAATCATCTGAAGAAGGCCGGAAAATACAATGGCCGAAACATTGTAATAAATATGGCGACAAAGATGAGGACAATAGTCCGACTAATGTAAATAATGATTTTAAACTTGTCAAATTTTTAGCACCTAAATCACCTTTAATTTTATTTTTTTTCTTTAAAAAAAATTAGTCATAACATTTGTTTCAATTTTAGAAGAATATTTCTTTAACTCCAATTTCAAAATGAAAATACAACTGAATGAAGGCAAAAAAATTTTTTTTAATTTGATAGAAATCTAATGATTCAAGTATGGATTAAAGATGTTGTGAACAGATTGAATCAACTGAATTGTAGTAAAAGTGATATGCATACTTATGTATAATGTACTTATTCCAGACAAAATTTTCATAAGATTTTGTAATAATTAAAAAATATATATAGCAGAAATGAGGTTGTCCACAAAGTAGTCTTTTAGCTGCAAGTAATAGAAAAATGAAAGACAGAACTGTAAAATAATATAATTTAATCAAAATATATACAATTGACTTCAAAATATTTGTCATCAATTTGTAACAATCTTATTTATGAGACTGCTCCAAAAATGAAAATTTCTCTGTTCAATTTCCTCTGTGACTGTTTTTATTGTTTAAAAAAAATGCCAAATTGTATAAAGACATGATAATCACTAAGAAAGAAAAGAAAAAAGAACATGGGGGAAAAGCAGTGTTCAATTTCTGGAATGACAAACTATTTACTATTTAGATTCTAAATATTTTCATGGTTAACCTAATACACTATATATGCAGATACTGTCCACTCCAATGTGTCTTAAGCATAAATAAGATCTATATCTAATCTTCATTGAAACATCCTTAACTACAAAATGACATTTAATAAATGCAACCATTAGTTAAGAAGATACAAAGTGTACATGTCACAAATTATAGCTTATTCTTCATTGAAATTAAATTGCTCTATTCTCTGATTAGTATTATATATTAAGAATAATTAGAAAATAAAACTAGTTACTAATATAACTGGAGAATTTTTTTATGCTCTGAAGTAAGAAACAGATTTATGGTTCTGAGTTTATCATTTTCTTCAAAAGAACCACAATCAATTGGACTAAATTAGAACTTAATTCTAAAAACATTTAACAATGAATTACATACTAACTCCATTTAATACCACATCATTTTAAGTAGAAGTTGATACACAGTTCATAAAACAAAAAAAAAAGAATCCCAACAGAATGATAAACATGCAATGAGAAAGAAAAGGACTTAAATTCAAATCTCTGTAATATTGACAAAGTTGAGCAGATCAGATGGAAGTATATTCAAAAATTTTGTTTTACTGAAACTACCAGTTTGTTGTTCTTTGGTAATTAATAAGTTGAGTTCATTGCCGTTATAATTTTGGACTGTATCACCTGCACTAATCTTGTTCCTACTTTTTTTTTTTACAATAGGTAGGTTTATAAGTCTTTTGCAAGAACATTAATTATAGCTAAAAACTATTTTGTTTTATTAAATATTAGCTGGAAATATTATAGAACTACTACATTTATGACTTTGTACAAAATTAAATAGTAGATGAGCAAGAAAATTGTATGGTTCCAATCTTTGAAATAAAGAGATTTGCCTGGAGAAAAAATATCAACATTTGAAATTGTTTTTTTTTTTTTCTGGTCTCAAATACAATCCACAAATGCCATATTCAAACCACCAAGCAAATCCTCTAGAAATATAACATAGAAACCATATTCTCAAAAATATTTAAACAAACATGACTGTTTTATAGTCACTATTTCACACCAGAGTTTTAACTGTTTGAAGTTGCAGGAAAATCTATTTCTTTAATTTTTGGAAAGCTTGATAACTGAACAAATACACATTTACTAATCTAACAAAATTTTTATCAGATCCAAGATTTTCACTACTTCATTAAGAGTCAAATGATTTTAATTACATACCCTCTGCCTTTTCAACATCTCTATCCCATTTTCATTTTGCCCTCTACAAACTGCTGTAACTAATAACTTCTTTATGTTAATGAAACAATAATGGCACTGAAAGTGTTAAGTTCATTTCAAATACAAGTATTTTAAATCTCTATTTTTGGTCCCATGACCCCCTAACATTTATAATTTTTTCCCCTTAAATAAAAATAATTCAGACAACCAAAGAAAAACAAGGCCAAAATATTTGAATAATTACAATAGTTTTAAACAAAAATGAAAATAAAATGTTGAACTAAATTAAATTAAAAAATGAGGATATAATTTAAGTAGTTTTTTATTTTTATTTTGGAAGTCATCAAAAATAGCTGTTACTTAAATTCAGCGCTAAAGAAAGAGATAAAGCAACAGCCTTTATGTCAATAAACATGCCTTCTTCAATATTTTTGTTTTCCTGAAACGGGAGATTAGTTTTCAAATGTTCTAACAGAGTTTTGAATGACATCATTTCTTCCTTCCAATGGAATAAGTACCAATTCATGCAGTAGAGATTATTGCTAATCTATGCAGTTTTTATTGTGGAAAAAAAGAGAGATTAAATTATTTATATATCAACATACTTTAAGTAAAAAAGCATTTGATTTAGCTTCCCAAAAATAAGGATTTGAGAAGAAAAACCATGCAAAAATAAAAGTTTAAGGGAGATACCTACAGCTTTTCCACCAGGGATCTGAAAATGATAAACTGGAGAATATATATGTATACAAACAATGAATAATCATTCTTTATAAGGGATTTTGAAGAGGTTCTGTAATATTTTTAATTTCAGATTCCCTCCTTTGCTTCTCAAAGTTTTATTGACATTTCCTCTAATCATATTAAACTGACAATGATGATTTTTTTCAAACATGAGACTGGAGGACATACCACCTGAAGCTTCACCGCAAATATCAGTCAAATTAATATTCCACTGCAAGTCAAGGAAAACTCATTTAAGTCAATGAGCTTGAATCTATAATGATGCAAAATCTATTTAATATAAATATCAACATTTAGTTGGTCTGAGTTCATATAAGAACAAGGAAAAAAGTACATTGTAGAGAGGTTAAAAGTTTGTTTATAAAATATTTTTATTCCTACTTAAAAGTTTTTACAATATTAGTCATTAAAAGCAAAAACATATACCAATTTAGTAATAATAAAAATACTTATAATGCAATAACCTTGACTATATAATACTAAATAAAACCTGTAGATAAAGTTCCTTGGCTCATAAAATAATCTGATTGCAATGTTTTGAGCTAGAATAAGATTTTCCAGATTTTTATGTTATTTTCTACTTTTATCAATATTTATCACATATGATATTGTTATTGTTTCCTGGACTTTAAAAAAAAAATGTCCAGAAAGATTTTAAACAAAACATTCTTTATATCTAGATTCATAATTTTGTTTGACTAGATAAAAAACATCTACTTCTCAGTGCATAATAGCAAATAGCTGATTATAAACTTTAAAAGTAACATTTTTGAAGAATAAATTGTTGATCAAGGCTTTAAAAAAATAAATATAAAAACACTATAAGTCTTTGAAAATCTTCCTGTTTGTAAATCAGTATTGTAACCAGGCAATTTGAATATGCCATTAAACAGATTCATACGTTTGATGTAAGTTGACAACCATTCAAAGAGAACCTTACTGCATATGCATGAACATTCTCATTCAGTCAATATTGAGATATTGAGTGAGCTTATATATTGTGCAATTATTGCATTCACTGTAAATATCCATAACATTGTGCTTGAAATGTGGACATTTAAATGATTAAGAAGAATTAGAGATGATTCAATAAATAAAACCCAGATAAAAATTTTGGTACCAATGCTTCAAAGAAGATTAAGAATCTGTTGAAAGCAATCTTTGTTCTGAAAGGCAGAATATCAAAAATGTTGAATGCATGTGGAAAGCCATCAAAAGAAATTAGTAATTAACAATATGATAATTAAAAGAAGATCTGGATATTTTATGAACTGTTAGAAATATATCTAACCATTTTTTTATGTCTTGCGTAGAGTTTGTGAAAACATTGTATAACCCATGTCTGTTATCACCACCCTGCCACTGCCTCATTTAGCTCTCTATCTGGATTTTCCTAATGCTTAAAATTGCCATCAATAATGAGATTAAAGAGACTGTTGATGAAATCTTTCAAGAGAACTTTTCAGACTGTTTTGAAAAGTGAAAGGGACAATGAAATAAACTGTGTGAGGGTCACAAGGAAAATACTTTCAAGAGGATTAAAGTGTCATTGCCATAGCTAGGCTAATTATATTCAAGAAGATCTTATATATTAATAATTAGTTTTTACATTATTTTGAAAGTAAATCACTAAGTGCCCAATATTAATACCCTGGAATCTTTACTAATATTGAATAAACTTGGTGTAATCTAATATATAAAAATATTTTGGATTACCAAGTAATAATCAAATCACTATTAATACCACCTAAAATCAGTTTACTAAACACTGTGTTTTCACATTAAAAACTTTTTGGAGCTTAATTTGCTATACATTAAAAATGATCCACATGTTTTCTTTTATTATATATTATTTTAATAAAGAAAACTTGACTGGTAATTGCATATATAAATAATATGAAGAGGGCTTGTAGATAAACTTATAAATAATTGTAAAAACAATTCACCTCATATTAGCTGTTGAATGTACAGAAGCATTATAAGTGAAGCACTGATTCTAACTAGATGTCCATTACACAACTGTACAATAGGCAATTAATTGTGATTATATACCAACCTATCTAATGGTGCAATACAAGAATATTTTGTTTATATTGGAGAAAATGGACACTTCTTAGATAACACTGACAAATACATTAAAAAAGATAGGTTTTAAAATTTGTAATATTAACAGTGAATAATTTCTATTAACTTTTACTTTGAGGAATTCCTCAAGGGTAGAATACATTGTTGTATCTTCAAAAGGGATTTAAATAGTATAGAAAGGGTTTTTTTAGAATAATATGTAATAACAAAGTAAATCTATAATCTTATAAATTGAATGAAGCAAGTTTATTTCAATGACACAAATGATTACATAACAATTATTCTAATTATTACATAAGTGTGATATTTTTCCCTTGAGGAACTAATATTGGTATAACTGAATTTGTTTGATGGTTTAAGTAAACCAAATAGCAACAAATAAATTTATTTTCTTACTGCTCCTTCATTGACATAAAAAACAGAATTTTACAAAACTTTCAGATCTTACAAAGCTTCCTCTCAAGTAATGTTCAACTTTTTATAAGTAAACAAGAGACATCACCATCAAGTGACTTATTTGTAAAAAACAAAAAACTAAAAAATAAATTGCTTATGCACAAATAATCAAGAATGACTGAAAATATCATAAATGGTATTGCCAAATGAATAAGGCTAATATTGCAAAAAGCAAACATATAAAATTTGTATTAACATTTAAATCATATAATTAAAAAAAATGGAATAATTTCTAAATTTCAAAGACTTACCAAACTGTTATGTGCGGTCTTACGCTTCATCTTTGGCATTGGTTCTGGTTTCTGTTGTGGTTTCTCTTCTTCCTCAGTAACATCTATCGTTTCTTCTGATTCCATTTCAGACTCATCCACTTTAGTAACCACAAATCGTGGGATTTGCTGCAGCAATTTTGGAGATGATGTCCTTCGAATGGGTGAAGTTTTCTTTGAATTTGATGGAGATGGGGGTGGTGATAAAGTGGAAGTTGAAGTTTTGCGGTCATTAAAAAAAGTTCGTTCACTCAAGTGTAAAATTAGAAGTCTTTCAAGCTCAAACCTCTGAATTGAACCAAGGAGGATCATGGATTCTAAAAAAAATATACCAAAATGAACCTTGAATGAGTAACAGTAACAATTTAATCAATTTATTTGAGTACAGTTTCTTTATCTTAATGTTTTTATTCACTTAACATTAGCAAAAAAATTGCTCCAATTAGACCCCCAGTCTACTACTATTAAATTACATTATATCCAAGTTAGTGGATATTAAATCAGAGAGAATGATATATCCATTTCAGATGATTAACATTCAAACTTATCTATTGGCTATTCCTATGATACAAAGCATAGAGACTTAATAAAATTTATAATTTGCAAAAGTTGTAAACCTTGATATTCTAAGAGTGGACAATGTTTTACTTCTTTCTGCAAACACATTTGAAAGATTATGGAGACTTTTTAAGCAATTCTTAAGTAGGAAGGAAAACTGATCATGTTTTACTATTCTAAATAGAGTAAAAACATATTTTATATCTGTAAAATTCTATCCAAAATTAATAAAATTTATTAAAAAAACAACTTAAACCAAATCAAAATAAATGACTAAGACTACAACATAAAAAGTAACAAGGTCAACAACACAAGTCAAAAAAATAATTCGGTAGCTAAAGTCGATAAGAGCAACATCTCCCTTTTTCCTTGGAGAGAAGAGAAAGAAACTGCAATAAAGTGTGACCAATGAGAAAAGAGAACACACTAGAAATTTATTCTGATAGCATAAAGTAGAGATAGAAAATATTTATAAAATAAAGTTTATGTAACTTTGTAAGTGTCCAAATCTTGGAAAGATTTGTGGAGCAAAGACAGAAATAACCACCAAGACAGTCAAACACCAAATGACAAAAATGGTTTCTAAGTTGAAGGATTACACATTCTTCCAGTTAATAAATTAATACTTTTAAAATCAATATTTAACATTTTTTAACAAAGGTTAAGCATGTTTCTTTTTGTTGTTTTTTTATTGTTGGTGGTAATGGTTACATTCCTGCCAACAATAAAAATATGCTTCATGATCCCATTGAAGGGTATTTAAGCAAAGTTTCTAGATGGACAAACCAGTAATTAGAGACAGACGGCAACAATTCACAAAACTTGGCTTAAAAGAAATTCCCTTACTCATTCACCCATCTTCCTCACCAAACCACATGATACTTAAACCTTCCTCCTAACTTTCTCCCATTCACTTCTTTCTCACATGCACATGCAAAGAAATCACATTTCTTTTCATCTTAACAACTACAAGCAAGGACTGTAAGAAGTTTAAAACTCATGCACAATAAGAAAAATATAATTGTAAAAACACAAAAATAAAAATAAGATATTTTTATATTTAAACACCTTTACTTTGTTGTGGGTTAATTCAAATCCACAACAAAAGATTATCAGCCTACCAAATTTAAAATGATATATACCAAAGTGCAGATAGATACATTGACAAATATATACTTCAGACATTATTAATGTTTGACTAGTATTTCTTTCATCTTAATTTCAGTTGCTTTTAATTACAACTATTCAGACTATCATTCTACTGCCATTAGTAAACAACACAGATTAGAAATAAAGAATAGGCTTTTAGCAAGACTTGAACTTCCATCCCCTTTACACCAGGAAGCCACTACTATTTGAGCCACTAGAGACAACAGTTGCAGAAGTTCAAATCCAACATTATTTTATCTTATTTTTTCAATAATTCAAGCTGTAGAACCTCTGTTGTCACAGTCAGGGTTCCCAAGGTAAAACGGATTCCAGTTCAAGTCTTGTCTAAAGCTTATTCTATATTACCAATGTGCACTCTTTCCTAACAGCCATAGAATGAAAAACAATTGCAGTTGAGATGAAATAAATATTATTGTCATTATTAAAAAATTAAGAATGGATGACAGTGCTTCATTTAATAAAAACCTCACTATTTATATTATTCAGACTATTGTCCAAATCTTTGTTGCCATATTTATCACAACATTTCAGCTGTTGTATGCTCCAGTTGGAATGTCAAACTGAACCCTTTATTTTGCTCGCTGGGGTAGACTGTTCTAGTCCATGTGCCATGTCTAATGGATGTCAGTTATCAGTTATCTCCAGTTAATTCACCTCTCCAAGTTCTTCACTGCCTTGAACAGGTATTGAACTCACAACTCTTTGGGTCCTGTCACTGGATCTAACCAATGCCTTTATCCACTGTGCCCATGTGTCCTTAAGGACATCTATGTATGAATTTCTGGGACTTATAAACTCAATGTCTTCAGCAACCATTTTTACCAGTGCTCATATTGCAATTTTTGCTGTTATCATTGCATTTTTTTTTACCAGAGCTCATATTGCAATTTTCATTGTTATTATTATTTTTTTTCTGGCACTCCTTAGTACTGGTTCCCATATTGTATTCATTTCTATGCTTGGTCAGCTCAGGAGATTTTTCTGGCCTAGTATATGTGCTGATTCCTTAAGTTTACGAATTTTCCAATGATGTTCTTCATCTAGGATTTCAACCTGATCCCACAGAGGGTGGTGATCTCCCTTTTCTCTCCATATGTGGTCAGCCATGCCTGATTTTTCCACTTCCTCTCGTGTTACAGCTTTCAGGTGTTCTTGAAGCCTTACCTTAAAGGGGCGGCCTGTCAGCCCTTTATATTTCTTTGCACAGCTGCACGGGATTGTATACACACAGTCTTTAGTCATGTTCTCCTCTATGGGGGTGGGGGGGGGGGTCTTACTCAGGAGAGGTATTTGCAAAGTGTCATCCAGCTTTTGAAGGTTGTCTTGATGTTATCTGGACCTCAGATCCTTTGTATTTTCTCTGATAAATTAAATATATGTATATACATATTGGCTATAAGCAAATATTTGTGTACTTCTGTTAACCATTTACAGACTAAAATTATTATTAAATTTTAACCATTCTAAACTAAATTTAAATCCAATTTGCAAGTTATCTACACATGTTAATTCTTCTATACCAAACATATTTTGGCTGAATTATATTCAAGCTTTGGGGTAGAAGTATTTTTACTCACGAACATCTGCCTTTGATTATTTTCATGGAATCTGTAGGCAATAGAATTTGGTAAAAAATAGACAATATATTGTAATTTTATACACATTTAGGTCAGATGCCACTTTTACTTGACTTACTGCCAGTGCCATTAAAGCCTGAGTCTCAGAACAAAACATTTCCTTTGCTTAAAACTCATCATTGGCATCAAGGATGGTTTGCAAGGCTTTCTGGACATTTGTAAGTAATGTCTGTATATCATGTCATTGAAATTTGATTATCTATTGATGACAAAATAAATTTCTAATTTTCAAGCATGCTGCTACTAAATGAAAGCTGGCATGTTGCTGATGCAACTGCATATATTCCTCAATGGCCAATTGCTATGATGATTAGTTGTAAAAAAATGAAATCCTTTGGTCAGCCAAATGTATCCAATCCATCCGGAAAGGGTTAAATGGAAAGAATGAAAACTATACAGATAAAATTCATTGCAGGGGATATGTCACAGTATTTTAATGATATCTGATACAAAACTAAGAAGTCTGTCTCCCACTTTGTAGACAACTTTATTTAAATCAATCCTAACAAAATTATCTGTTTACATGAAATAGACTCTTGATGCTATAATGGAGAATGGGAGATAAGATGACTCAATTACCAAAGACAGTCTGTCTGGTTATGTAGCATTATCAGTTTATAAATAAATATATTATATTACTTACCAGGAGTATCCACCAAAGGATAAGACTTAAAACAAGAGCTTCTTAATAGTTCTTGTAGTTCTGCATATGTTGATACAAATGTAATATATCGAACATCTTTCATCATGATATCTTCAACATAAACAGTCCAAGCACTAATTGAAGACAAAAAGAATTAAAATGTCAAGCATTTTTAAATGGTTAGAATAATTTATAAAAGTAAATATAAATAATATGAATTTATCATGGAAATGAATAAGAAAATAAAAAATAATAATCTAGTGTAATACCGAGTGTTACAAGTTTGTAAAGTGTATATATATATATATATATATATATATATATATATATATATATATATAAAGATTCATAATTATAGATATAATGACAAAATTTTATATAAGTTGCATAAGTCCACAGCCTAATGGTGAAAAATATTCATTATTCATTTGACAAAAATAGTTTTGACAATGATCTCCCTTGTTAATGCAATTAATTCAGTGGTGAATATTAATCACATTGATCATTATACAATGAAAACTTCAGATCAAAATTCAAGTACATATCAGGCTTATTTATTTATTCTTGTAATATAAACAAGTATTCTTGTGTATCAAATACAGTTGATGGCATGATTAAATTATTTCTTTTAATTTTCCAACTGGTATAGTGATTATTTGGTAAAGCACACTTATTATTTTTCAAATAATTTTCTCTCTGGCATTTATTAAATTGATATAACAATTTTTTAAATTAACACACTTATTTTATGTGCTGAAAATTCATACTGGCATGATTATTCAAAATGGTTTTTATATTTCGCACAAAAGAAGTAATTTTAGTTTTACACCACATAAAACATTAATTTCATTCACAGTAGTTATTTTCAAACAAGTTATTTTTCCTTACATTCTATTTTCACTGCAAGGATTTAATTTTAAAACAGTTTAATATAACACAAGGTGATGAAAATTTCTGTGCGACCCACTTCAAAAAATTTGGCCATGTGACCAGATTTTTTTATTCATTTTTGGTCAGACAAAGGAATTTTCAAGAAGCCTTATATATTAATAGTCTGTAAAACAAAGAAACAGTAAAAGTGTATTTATTAAAATTTAAGTGCAAGTCAAAGGTAGGAATACAAGTTTGACTGCATTCCATAATATTCATAAAAAAAAACTAAAACAAATTTGAATAAAAAGTGACTAAATAAAATTTTACTGGGTGAAGGATACATCCAGATATTCTCTTCATTTACTAACCTTTACATGCTTCAAGTAGCAATAGAAAGGCATGTTTTATTAACCTTCCCATCTTAGTGCTTTATCAAGTCTAAAAGCAGACAGGATATTGTAACAATAAAAATCAGTTACTTACTCTTGCTTAGCATTGACAATGTCTGGTAAATATGGAAGCCTTTTTAATCGAATTATGCTGTCATAAAAAGAAGGCTGTAAGAAATGAGCAACAGCATTTGCTATTAATACAGCAACCTGAAATAAAAACAGACCAACTATCAGATTTCTGTTATCAATGTTTGCCAAGATCTTACATAATTTTTCCAACAACAAAGTAAAAAGCTTGTTAAAAATATTTTGGTTTGAGGTTTAATTTTTTATTATCACAATTTCTTTTAACAAATGTTTCCAGATCAGATTAAATTTATTTCTGAATTTTACCAGTTTTAAGGTAATTCAAGCATGAATTCAATTTGTAAGTTATCTACACAAATTAACTCCTTCATAACATATACAAGAGACACTTTAAAAGTAATGCCACCTATTTATTTTCACAGAAACTACAAGAGAACACAATAAAACTGTTGGATAGATCAAGTTTTCAATTCTAAAACACGTTTTCTATATACTCATGCCCAGTGTCTTGTTCATCACTGATGACTTTCATTAGTGATGAACAAGAGTGTGCTTACCATGTTCATAAATCTGCAAAAGTGATGACATTCTCAACATATATTGTAAGTATTGCTGAAATGTATTACCCACTGCCTAAATGTGCATACATCTACGGTTTAGTCTTAAATGCTGTGCAAGTGTCAATGAATGTCAATAGATGCAATTTTTTGACATGAAAAATTTCAATTATATGCCTCTGCTTCATATGAACTTTCATATCAAACACCATTTTGCCATACAGCTGCTCAGTTGCTATCTTTAACAAGGTAAAAATAATTAGCGAGAAAGTTCAACTTCTATTACCATAGCATCAATATCCACTCAATATTGTGACCCAACATAAAATAAAAAAATTTACTTTTGTAATGACATTTGTATAGTCTAATAGAGGTTAAGCTATATATGAAAGAGACCCTTTTATGCATGAATATTTGGTTCTGGTTGTTTTCATGGAAAGTGAACACAATAAACTTCAACCATCTGTCAATTAAAAATCACAAAATAAATGACTCATTTCAAAGCACACCACCATGACATGAAAAGCTGCCATGTTATTTAGGATGATTCAATTAACCTAGAGTTATTTGGTATTATTAGAGTCAATTGTAAACAAATGCCTGATTTAGAAAGTGTTAATAGAAACTAAATAAAAATTAACTTGTTTAAAACTGTCTTTGGAGAGTCTCTTCATAAAATTCAATAATGGTTATACCAGGAACATCATCAAAATTATTTTGGTAACTTTTCTCTTTCAGTCAGTGTAGTATTTACTAAATTTAACTTAGTTGAGCACAAGGCCAAATTAGTGGAGCATCTAGGGAGAATCAAGCGCAATATACTAGCAAATGGTCCAAGAGATTAACTTGTTATAATTATAACCAATGCCCTAAACAAAGCAAATATAGTAATTTCTCCTGTCTATTTTCTAAAAATATTGGGGCCAGTTATTTTTATTTTCCAAACTTGCTAAAATGGAATTGGTTGCTTTCATTACTTTAAAATTTTAATTAAAATTGATTTATCATTTGTCCCTAACAATTTTGACTAGTATCAAGGTAAACAGATAAGGCACTTGGGATACAAGGAGTCATAAACAAATTTAAAAACTCTATCCCAAGACAGCTATTATATTTAGTGTATAAACATGTATGCAAATATTAACTATTTTGGGATAGAGGCAGTATTAGATTTTAAAATTTTTGCTGCTATAAACTTGTTCTTCGTGTACATGAAAAAAAGAGAAGATTTTTTCTGGTTTCTATATAGATATATTCTGTATCAAGAAAACAATTGTTATTATCCAGTTATTTTCAAGAAAAATCATGCAACTTTTGACAAACCGATTTATCTGATTTAAGACAAAAATAAACAGATTTCACCATAAATACTTCAGGATACAAAATATAGAGTTTAGAATCCTTTACAAGTTCTTTAATCCAATGTAAATGGCCTATATATATATATATATATATATATAAAAAAGAACAGTAAGTTATATAATCCGGTGTTCTTATTGATATTTTATTTTCACAAAATAGTGCTCAATGTAAATTTACAGAAAATTAATAAATTAACTGATTTAAAATATGTTTTTTTTTTTTGCTACACAGTAATAATCATGTTTCAAAAATGGAAGCTAAAAGCTTCAAATTTAATTTCCTAATTAAATTAAAAACATTAGTTCCATTTCATCCTCATCGAATTTTGGAGTAACTTATTTTTTAAATTTACTGAGTTTTAAAGGCACAGAAAAATTCATAATTCACTGTTTTTAAGGATACAGAGAGATCTTATCATTCAGACAAGGGGTGGTAGTGTGTTCATTTTTATTAACTTTTGTTGTATCAGTTATTAGTTACATTCGAAAAAGGGGTTATGTTTAGGTAGGGTAGGGATGTATTTTTCAACAAATTCTGATATTCGTTAAATGCATGTCGTCTGGAGTTTTTTTTAAATATCTTATTGTTAATGGCAAAAAATTCTTATGGCATTTTTTCTATTTGTATACTTAAAGATTTTTTGGGGATGTTTAGGTTAGAATATGTTTTATTTAACTACAATCTTAAAATATTTTCACTTTTAATTTTTAATAGACTATATTTCTTTTAAAACAAGTAAATGTACTAGAATTACTTACACTATATAAAATCATTTTTTCATATCAAGTATAAGTATGTATATTACCAGGCCACATTTTTTTTTTAAATATTATTTAAGGAAAGTTTTTAACAATGACAGCAAAAAATACCTAATTCATTTCTCTGATTCAGTAAACTTTTATTTTTATAAACTTAGTAATATATAGTTTCTCATGTATGTACAAAGGACATGGGTCATTTAATGGCCAACATATTCTAGCTTTTCTTATTAATTTCATTTTACTGTAGGTGTTTTATTGGATTCTTTTAAGTGCTAGAAGTACTTTGAAACAGATGTTTAGGTTAGAATTTGTTATATTTAACTACAATTTTAAAATATTTTCACTCTTAATTTTAATAGACTATATATTTCTTTTTTAAAACAAGTAAATGTAATAGAATTACTTACAGCATATTAAATAAGTAATATATTACTAAGTTCATAAAAAATAAAAATTTACTGAATCAGAGAAATGAAATAGTTATTTTTTGCTGTCATTGTCAAAAATTTTCCTTAAATAATATTTAAAAATAAAATTAAAAAGTGAGACCTGGTAAGATACATAGTTATATTTGATATGAAAAAATAATTTTATATACTAAGTATATGTAAGTAATTCTAGTACATTTACTTGTTTTAAAAGAAATATAGTCTATTAAAAATTAAAAGTGAAAATCTTTAAGTTTATAGAAAAAATGTCATAAGAATTTTTTGCCATTAACAATAAGATATTTAAAAACCCCAGACGACATGCATTTAACGAATATCAGAATTTGTTGAAAAATACATCCCTACCCTACCTAAACATAACCCCTTTTTTTGAACGTAACTAATAACTGATACAACAAAAGTTAATAAAAATGAACACACTACCACCCCTTGTCTGAATGATAGGATCTCTCTGTATCCTTGAAAACAGTGAATTATGAATTTTTCTGTGCCTTTAAAACTCAGTAAATTTAAAAAATAAATTACTCCAAAATTTGCTTGAGGATGAAATGGAACTAATGTTTTTAATTTAATTACAAAATTAAATTCGAAGCTTATAGCTTTCATTTTTGAAACATGGTTAGAACTGTGTAGCGAAAAAAAAAACATTTTTAAATCAGTTAATTTATAACATATATATATGTGTGTGTGCGTATATATATATATATATATATATATATAGAGAGAGAGAGAGAGAATACAAGTAAAAAATCCATTTTTCTTTTTTTTACAGCAATTTTTAATAGGAAATTCGGTATTTGTTTTCAATACACATTCTTATATCAATCTACGTATATAAACAAACACTTGCATATTATATTCCACCTATTATATCTGTGAAATATAAGAAATATTCATAATACATTATAAGATTATTAAATAAATTTAAATTACATAACACAACATATTTATATTAAAATGTTTTTTATAAACAAATATCTTGGATGTTTGGCAAAAACTAGATAGGTGAAGACACTATGTGGGTGTGTCATTGTAAAATGTAATCTGTATAGCTGGAAAATTGTGTCACATGACTGGATGGTAAATAAATAAAGAGATATACAATGGTTTGCTGCCATTACATATTTTGAAATAAATGTGAGGAACAAACATATGTTTTATAAGAACTATAATTATTATTAATTTACTATTGTGCTTGATCTAAGCAAAATTGTATAATCTGAGTAATAATAATTATTACAATAACTTGTATTGCAAATACAAATTAAAATGTGTGTAATTAATAATAAATTGTTACCATGTTATTTTGTATCATGAACTGCTTTTAAAAGGAACCCAACAGGTTCACAGGTAAGTCTAGTTGATAATTAAACAACTGCGCTTCATTCCTTCAGGATGTGAACAATCATAGATCTCTACAATTTCCTGCCTTTTGTTGTTCTCAGCAATATTTTCTCTTTTATGACTTTCTCTTTGTGGTATTTTGTTTTCTCTATCCATTTGCTCAAAACTGACAAGTAGGTTTTTCTGCATTTTGGAGTGGCATGTGAATATTAAATTCTCTAATGCCTCTTTCTTCATTATGTGCCTCAAAAATGTCACCTGTTTTTCTAATTGTGATCAACAGTTTCATTGTATTTCATATTCTATTTAGAACTTCCTCATTTAATTAAATATACTGCAACCAAATAAAATCTCTTGAATATGAATTCTCAGAATCTGATGAATTAATATGTCCAAATTATTTCATTCCAAGGGATAGACTGCTGCCAAATTTGATAATAGGTTACTGTTGTTATTATTAATCATAGCAATATTAATGAGTGACACATCCTGTGATGAAATTACAAATTAAAGGAATTTCAATATTTATTATCAGCCACTGCCAGTCAACACTCTGACAAAAGGCTTTTGTAAACCTTTCCATTGGTACTGTGATTGTTATTTTCTGCCACCATTTACATGAAAACTTCTCTATTTCATTTCCCCATCTTGTCTTTTCTTACTGCATATCCTACTGATTAGACACCAATGAAACAACCTTTCTCACTGTTGTTCTCTATATACCTCCCCATTGTTGCTTTATCATTTCTATGATATCTCTTATCATAATCTCTTCTCTAATCAATGTTTACCGCTTTTGATTTAATAATCTTTCCTAAAACTGCTTTTTCCATTGATCTTTGTACATTCCTGAGATTGTTTTCAAAAGATTTTTCCAGTTTCAAATTCTTTTCACCAGTACATTGTAGCTGACATTATACATTTACTATACACTTTACATCATAATCATACTGGCACAGTTCTTTCCATTATGTCTTTCTTTTTGTTAAATCCTTTCCCATATTATTTTAATTCCTTTCTGCAGTCTTTCTTTATCACTTCTCTAAAGTAAATGTCTTACTAGATTTCTTCCAGTTTTTTATGCACCTTGTCAGCTGGGGCCTCAGAATACACTAAATGCACCTTTGTAGAGAAGTAAAACTTCCCCAATGAGGCCACCTGTAATGTCTAGGAATGAGATTGTGGCGGACATGAGACAGAACCTGGGACCAGCACAACTGGTCGCAACTTGCCTTGTCCCCGCCAAAAAAGAGCCCGTATTTGCTTAGCATGTAAAGCTACTGCAGTTGAAATGAGGGAGAAAAAAAGCACTTACTGCTCTGCCGCAATCCATCCTCGGCCAGATAATTTAAAAGAATGAGGGGGACTGGCATCGCATTTTTATGCAATAACGATGCAATGCATTATGGGGCGTGGGACGCAATGAATTATGGGATCACGTGAAGACGCAAGGGATTATGGGTATATGAACAATTATAAAACAACTACTTTTTTCCAAGTCGGGAGTTCTTCGAGAGACGTTCACGGTTGATGGCAAGAACGGGCAGTTAGTGTGATTTGGAGACAACTCAAGAAGGAACGACTCAAGTTTGAAATACCAGCTGGGAGAGCTTGAATTTACTTGCTGGTTACTATTTTCTTCATTTGCCACAGAGATCCTGGTGGTTGAGAACTTCAGGAGTTGGCTTCTGATTCTCAACACATGACTTTGGCTTCTACTTGGCCTAGACGGGCAGCCGGAATGATCCGATCTGATCAATCAGCTGGTCATGTCAAGCCTTTACTTAGTTTCTTCCAAGTCAATGGCTGTAGAGTCAATCATCAATTAAAAAAAACAAAGAATCATCAATGTAAGAAGAGTCAGCATTAAAAAATGGGGATAACTAATACAAACAAACATGTATTTATTAACATGTGATATGCCTACAATTCTAAAGAAAGTTAAAATAGACTAAAACATCAAGAAGGTTGAATATTATATCCCAAATGCCCTCCAATGATATAACTGTCAAAAGTTTGATCATCATGAGGATGCCTACCATTGAAAAACCGTGTGCTGCCAATAGGGTCAACGAGACCCAGATCACATGACAAATGAGTGCAAGATATAAATGGACTAACTACAGCAACAACCATATGCCAGATTACGTGAGACATGGAAGAAGGAAAAAGAAATTATGACTATAAAGCATACTATCAGCAACCATAGTAAACTATGGAAGATTAAATAAAAAACATGGCCTATTCACAGATTGATGTAATGGAATAACCTGTCACCCCCAGGAAAGTTCTCCACTGCCTTAAGCGGGTATTGAACTCCTGTCACTGGATCTAATCAATGCCTTTATTCGCTGTGCCATGTGTCCTTGAGGACATCTGTGTATGAATTTCTGGGTATTATAAACCTTCAGTAACCATTTTTACGAGTTCTCATATTGCAATTTTTGCTGTTATCATTCCATGTTTTTACCAGAGCTCATATTGCAACTTTTGTTGTTATTATCACTTTTCTCTGGCACTCCTTACTGGTTCCCATATTGTATTCATTCCTATGCTCGGTCGGCTCAGGAGATTTTTGTGGCCTACCATATGTGCTGATTCCTTTGTCTATGATCTCAACCTGATCCCACAGAGAGCGGTGATCTCCCTTTTCTCTCCATATGTGGTCAGCCACACCTGATTTTTCCACGTCCTCCCATGCAGAAAAACCTACTTTTCCTTACAAAAAATTGCTGCTTATCTATGTGGTGAGCAGATTGAAGCTATTTCAAGCACTTCTCATTCTTGATAGCTTTTTCTACTCTTACAAAGTTAATCTTTATGCCTGTCTTATTTTTCATTGATTATGCCTTCCAAAAGATAAGCAAAATTTTAACAAGAAAATTTTGTTAGAAACAAGAAAAAGTACTGAACTGTTATGTAATGTCACTCCTCCTTTATGGCAGTAACTGTTGGACAATCTCCTCACAGAGATGTGGTTCTACAGAAGGATGTTGAAAATGCCATGTGAGCAATGACAAAGTTTTAGAGAAAATGAAAACAAAATGGAAGCATACTTAATATCAGAAAAAGACAGCTGAAATTTCTAGGACATGTAATGAGAAAAGAGGGCTTGGAATATCTGACACACACAGAACATATTGAGAGTAAAAAAGACAGAGGAAAACAAGAAATAACATGCCTAATGTGCTTGTGCAAATGGATGGCAGAACAGGGTTTAGGAGAGATAGCAATAAGACAAAATTTACTAAGAGCTACAAAGAACAAGAAATTACAAAGGGTCATGTTTACAAATGTCCTGAAGAGACACAGTTCATAGAAGAAGAAGTGTGTTTAATTCTGCATTTTCAATTTTACCTTTGTATTTATGACCATATTTCTTTTTTTCATTAGTTCTTGTGTTGACATTGAATATTTCCCTTATTAGTGTTTCTTTAATTAGTTACTAATTTGCTCTTTGTATTTTCTATGTTATTTTTGTCATTCCACAATGAATATAATCCATTCTTAATTACTACTTGAAATTCTCTGATCTTATTAGGACATGTTCTCTTTTTGAGAGTGTTTCTCTCAATTTTTAAGTTAAATTTTACTCTGCAAGCTACCATTCTAAGAATATGTTCATATTAAATTTGTTTATTGATTACATCTTTAATGATACTGGCTTTGTCAGCAATTATGAAATTGATTTTATTTTTTGTTTTTCCCATTTAGGCTTTTCCATGTTCATTTATGGCCCCTTTACAATTTTGATAAAATATATTCATAACTGCAATATTTTTGTATTTTTCTGAGAAGGTAACTAACATTTTGCCCCTCTCATTTCTTTTCCCTATTACAAATTTTCCCACACTAGACTTACCCTCTTTTATTGTCTCCGTTTTTATATTGAAGTCATCCATCAAAATGGTGTAATTTATTTTCTATCAATAAGGATGACATAAAACCTCCAATTTACTCATCCAAACTTTTTTAAACTGGTGCATACACTTGGATTATTTTTAAAGAATATCTTTTGCATAATCTAATTACAATTCAAGCTAACCTGATATTCTGTTGAAACATTCTACATTGCCTATAATGTCATTAATCCTCTGCTACTAAACTTGTTATTCTCCTTTCCTGTATAATAAAGTAGACAGTTACTTTCAAATGATAGAAATTTTTCTCCCATGAGCCTTACTAATCTCATGTACCAGGTAAGATTATTGTTTATTTCTGATGTTAGTTGGTCCATTTTGTAGACTTCATCATTGCTTTAAACATTATACATGTAAATCTCCATGGTTTTGATTTTGTTTAATGTTCAAATCTTTGTCAGGCTTAGACAGTATCTTCCCACAGGCAAATGAAGCAATGTAATTGAACATTTTTTAGAGAATGATCCAAGAACATTACATATAGCTTTTTCTTTTTATCATTCTGGGTTTTAGAAAGAGAGAGTCATAAATTGAGCTCAGCTGTTGGCACTGATTTCTGGTGAACTTGATGCATTAGCTATCATTCATCTCAGTCAAAATAATTTTACAGATCCATTATAGTTTAGCACACATTGAATCTCATCTCATGTCACTATTAGTATAAAATATATCAAGTATACTGAAATTCTGGTAAGGTGTATCAATATCAAGTTTCTAATTTATGACATGCAAAACAAGAAACATACCACTGCTGGTAAAACATGACTGATTTGCCCTGTAAGTTCAAAAACGATCACAGATGTTGATATGGTGCGAGTTACACTTCCGGATAATGCTGCTGCACCTGAAAAATATAAACAAGTAGTTATTTACAAGAGATTAATTATAATCTTCACAACAGAGTAGGAAATAATATTCCTTGTTTTCATTTAAGAGAATATTTTTTTAGTAAAATGTATTAAAAAATTATGATAAACAATATAAAACAACACCATGTATTAAATAGAGTATTGCTTAAATGCATATGAATTTTGAAATGTATTTTCAAAAATTAACAAAAACAAATAAAAAGATACTAAGTATAAAATGTTAATCTTCTTTAACTCAAATTGCATAGAACTTGTATTTATCAGGTTATTCCCTAAATCTGAAATGTGATGCCAAAACACTGTATATTTTAGCTATTCTAACATGCCCAAAAAACAACAATATATGTTAGCATATGTTTTTAAAGTCAAATAAATGTCATATAGTCACGTTATGATTCAACTTGATTACTATTTTGATCCTCCTAAAAGATGGACATATTGACAGCATGCAAAAACGAGTAATACTTTATGAATTTAGCGAAAGCAATAATGCTGTAATATAACAGTGTGGTAACCCAGATTCAACATTTTAATGCATGAGAATGCTTAGGAAATAATTAAGATTATGCTGTAAAAAACTCAGAGAAACTAAGTGCTGAGAAGAAAAAGAAAGAATTAAAAATAATAATTAGAAACCATAAAATGAGTTTGGAGAAGGCCTTGAGAATATTTGAACTTGAAATAAATAGAGAACTAATAAATAAAAGACAAAGATGAGGACAATAGTTCAAATAATGTAAATAGTGTAATAAATAAAAATAAATAACAAAACCAAAATTTCATCATTCCTAAAATAGACAGATAATAAAAACTGTCAGGCAAACAAAGCCATAATTTGACCAACTAATCAGAAAGCTTTCACAACCAGGATATAAGAAAAGGAATAAACAAATGATAACAAGGAGACTCAAATTTCCCCATTTCTAAAAATAGATAGTTTGACCAACTAGTCAGAAAGAGTTCACAACCAGGATATAAGGTCTATGAGAAAGGAGCAGCCATTTCAAAGCAGATCTATATATGTGTATCTAAACAAGTGGAAAATCAACCAAAACCAGAGTGGATAAGTTAATTTTATTCATTCTTGAATGCTGCAGTCATTGTAATATACCCAGAGATGAAATATAACATTTGCATAACTAGCTGGTGAGATTACATGACTAAACTATGCTTGCTGCACTGAAAACAAGCATACCTTTCTTCACTATGTGGTCAAGTGGCTGCTACTATATTTGGATACATACATATGCATACAAATATATATTTAGGTCCTCCTAGACACTTTTTCTCTCATGTGCCAGAACTTTTACAAATGAACTCTTGAAACTTCACCCATATCATTATCCTTGTGTATTATGATACATAAAGATTTATTTTGTATTAGTGCATTTCCTTTAATCATTACACAAGGCCAATATACACCCCAATCAACTATAATGATATATGGGGGGGGACGTTGCTATAAGATAAACAACTAATCCATAACTTGTATACATTTATATAATTAAATTCATTCCTTCATGCGTTCTCAAACATAACCACCATAAACCAAATAGAATTAATTCAGATTTAGTAAAATTAGCTCTCTCCCAACCTAATCCAGTTGCTCCAGGGTGCAGTATAACAAGATTTATGATCTTCTAAGATTTCCTGAATTCCAAAGATGAATTCTTGCTATGTTTAATTAAAATATTGTAAAACCCAACAAATGCTTATATCTTATGTTAAGAGCACTGGAATGAATGCATCCCACAAGAGACCATCTGTTTTTAAACAAAGAAAGTAATGATTTCTTATTGAAGAACATGCAATAAATCAATGCCAGAAGTTCTCAAATTTTCATATATAAATGAGCCACAGATGGAGAGAAGATAACTGGAGAGACCAGATGACAACAAAATGAGATCTGGTTTTAATCTCCCTCCTCCTTCTGCACCTCTAGTTTCTGACACTAACACATTCACAGACAAGAAATTTATCCATTTATTATGAACTACCAGCTAGAAGAATTTTCCTGCTGAAAGACCATCAAACAGGCAACATAGAAATATTAATAATTCTTTACTTCTTATATCCTTTGTAATTCTTCCCCTTGTTTTCATTAAATAATGAAATAAACAACCACTGGACAAATTCCCCATAGAAACTGGTTAACCTCCAGCTTGTGTTGAAATGTGATCACTGGGAAGGCTGTGACAATGCCAAGAATACTATATTTTTGGTAGCACTGGGACAGGGACTAACAGATTGACAAAACAAAATGAACAACAATGTGGCAACAGATATTATAGCAAAAGCAACACAAAAAAATTGCTGCAGACATTTTGAAAGATTTAGAAAAGGTGACTTCAGCTTAAAAGTTGTTCCATGAACTATTTGAGTTTTATTTGAGCTCAAAACAAATGTTGTGAGAATTGAAGAATTAGTCCAAAATGAGAATTCAAGCCAATCAGTTGTTCACTACCATCTGCAACAACTTTGAATGATGTTTAAAATTGGAAAATGATTACCTATGGTTTGGCAGTAGCTAACTGTATTTTTACAAATCATATAATAAAACTACGTTAATAAGTGAATTCTAACATTAATTTTTTATTGTTTTTATTTCACTGATTTTAATTTCAAATATTACTTATAAGATGAACTGATATAAATTCAACAGTTACACTTTTTATGATGACATTTTACACTCAAAACCTGGTAAAAATATATGCAAAAATATTATGAAAATAGACAGAGAATAGAAAGACTTAATAATTATATATCAAAATGAGGGCCTGGCAAGTCTATAACTGTCAGTAATGTATATGTACAAGAGAAGAAAACTTACCTTGTGTGGCAAAGTGAGCACGTATATGCCTGGCATGCAAAACAAGTGAAGGAAAGGAAAGAGAAATATGGCCACCCTGACACCTTAATTTAAGAAAGACACAGTCTCGGCACTAGAATTTTAATTAGAGTGAGTGAATGTATGCCATTTTTTTTGCAAAATCAGCTGGGCATAAAAATCCTGACATGAGAGAGTATAGGGCTGTTCATTTTTTGAATGTGGTGCTGCTTGTACGGAGAGACTTTGTCAGTTGGAAAGAGATGGATCAGTTTCACACAAGCTATTTTGGCAAAAATGACGGAGGAAGTGGTTGACTTATTCCCAAGTTTGACAGCTATGTGTCTGGAACATCTGTGGTTGAATGGATTGAGAAGGCTGATCTGGTCTGTGAGATGTGCCAGGTTAAACATCCAGAACATGTGACCCCTTTAAGACTAATGGGTGGTGCGTTTGCTGTCTACCAGCAGCTGAGAGAAGAAGAAAAAGAGGATTTCATCCAGATATAATTTGCACTGTAGACAGCTTTTTCACAGATGCTTTTCTGGCTTATGAGAAATTTGCTGAGTGATGGCTCCTTCCCAGAGAAACAGTGGAGTTATGAAAACTTTCCATCCTGTTCGGTGGAATGAGCGACCATGGCCTGGCATGTGCATTCATGCAAGGGTTACAAGACCAATTTAAACATTTCCTTTGCACTTCAACCTGGATTGACTTGAGTGCAAGCAATTATGAAAGATAAAATACTGGAAGAGGGACTGGCAGTTGCAGTGGTGCAAAACAACACAGGATGAGGTGAGGAAGCTTCCTACTAGGTATCCATGTGGCTCCATAACATGCTATCATTGCAATGGTCCCAATCATTTTGCAAGAGACTGCAAAAGAACAACATACCAAAAGGCAGACACCCTGAATGTGATGTCGCAAGTGCAACACAGTAGGCCATGTACTCTGCAATTGCTTGGTAAAGGATCCAGGGGAATAGGCCTCAGCACCAGTTTACTCCCTCAAGCTCTATATGAAGGAGGCACTACCTGCAATTGCTGTACGCATCAATGGAATCAGGAGTTTTATCCTTGCTAGACACAGGCTGTTCTCAATCGTTCATAAGCAGACTGCTTTGTCACTCTTGGAAGAAGAAAAAGTGGACATTCTCACTGTTGGTGAAAGGACCCTCAAGTACTCTGGGGTAGGACTTATTCAACTTGACATGAGCAACAGGCCCCCTATCGATGTTGAGGTTCTGGTTGTGTATGGAAAATTGCTTGGTTTCAACCTGCTGCTCAGATTTGACATCATCAAGAAGTTAGAAGGAGCATGTGTGTCCAGCAATGAGACTGTGAGCTTTCCTCAACTTACTAACCTTTGTGTGCCACCATAACCATCAATGAATCTGACTTCCATGCAGATAATGACCAGAACAAGAAGATCTGGGTTGTGTCTTGGAAGTGGTCTGGTGACCAGACACCACCTGTGTTGAGGAACCAAACAGACAAATATTCAATACCAAAACCACTCAGGGAGGGGTATACTCATGAACTACAAACCTGGATGGATAACAGCTGGCTACTTCCGTATCCAGAGAAAGAACTTGGGTCATCCAAGGGCCTGATCCTTCTAATGGCTGTGTTGAAGGAAAACAAACAAAAGGTCCACCCAGTCATGGATTATTAGGAGCTCAACCAGTATGTGCACACGCACACAGCTGATGCAGATATTTGCAAAAATTGAAGGAGTGGCAACAGGAAGGATCAGATGTTGCTATACTGGATCCACATTGACAAATCATTGTGGCTCTTTCAAACAGTGCAGATAGTTGAGTAAAGATATTACCTCACCCATTTAGGCTTTGGGCTCAATGTGGTACCACTGAATATGTGATCAATTGTGAATGCCATGGTCACACAGAACAAGACCATCCAAGTGGCCATGTCCTTGTACATCGATGGCATATTTGTCAATGAGAGTATATGCACTGCAGCACATGTAAGGGTGCATCTTCAGCAATTTGGACTAACCAGTAAGGATCCAGAGAGTTTAGAGAATGGCACCTGTGAGCTAGAATTATGTGTCTGGGAGGAGCAGGGCAAATTGCAATAGATTTGTGCGAGTGATCTCCCACCACTACCTAACATGCTTACTCATTGG